TTATAATTTAAAATTTATTTATAATATAAATAGATAATATTTTAAGAAATTGTTATGAAATATATTTTTTTTTATTAATTACATCAAAATATGTCTATGTTGTCACATTATGAATTTCTGTTAAAATTAATATCATTATCTTTTTATTTTGTGCATTTGTTTCATTATAGAACAATATTAAATTATATACTCGATCAATATTTTTTTTTCTTTTTTTTGGACGAAATTAATATTGTTTATATAGAAAATTTGTTAAATAGATTAAAAATTAAAAATATTATGATTTTAAAAGAAGTGTATAAAAAGAAGGGATAATGCATAAGTACCCCTTAAACTATGACTAGGGGTGTACATAGCCGGGTTTGTTCGGGTTTTTCAAATATAAAAGCAAACCATTTGTGTTGGATATTTAAGTTTATAACTCAAACCAAACTAATAAAACTCAATTTTTTTAACCTCGAATTTTTTTGGATTTTTTGAATTTTTTTTGGGGTTTTTTGGTAAAGTATTCATACAAACATATAATCAACTTGTGCTCCAAATATTTCATTAGTCCTAACAAAATACAACTACTAAGGTGTTTTTTAAGAAAATAACACAAAATATGAGATGAGTGATGACACCAAAATATGCAATAAAAAATGATAATCAAATCACATTAAATTAATATTGCAAATTAATAAAGTCATAATGAAAATGATCATAATTTGAATTTGAAGGAAAAATTACCTAAATACACAACTTATTTTACCATATTCTCTAAAATTACCTACCATTTGAAAATATTACAAAAATTCATATTCTCTCCTATTCTCGGATACATCACGTTACGCGATGTATTGATCGGATACATCACTTTACGTGATGTATTAGGATGTATGCGATATCGGGACATTAAGTGATGTATTCGAAACTGAGACGTGATGTATCGATATGTTGAGGGATGTATCCAAAATCGAGATGCGATGTATCGGGACATTTTGGGATGTATCCAAATTCTACCAAATTTAAGGGATTTTTGTAATTTAAAATATAGTGGGGATATGATGTAATTAGCTCTTAACACTATGTGATTTATGTAAAATTCTCTAATTTAAAAGTACTAAATGATACTAAAATAAGTCTAATAAGTATAAAAATACATGATTAAACATTAAAGAAAAATTAAAATTAGGTTATGGATTTTAAATGTCTAAATCAATGTAAAACTAAAGAACAAATATTCAACATTATTGTCATTCTGTGTTGAATTACTTTTTTTTAGCGTTACTATTGATTTGATTTTTATTTGAGCTTTCTTAGAGTTGTTTGGTTTTTTTTTCAATACCAAATCAATCAAGTCAAACCAACCGATTAGTCGGGGATTTTTTTGATTTGACTCAGTTTGCATTTCGGTTCGATTTTGTACACCTTTAACTATGACCAAAATTTGCGACACACCAAAACTTGACTAGGATCTTATTAACCCCCCCCCCCCCCCCCCAAAACTATTTTAAAATAGAATAAACACACACCCAAAAGGTGGCGTGGCATAGAGAGATGCACACTCTCTTGAAGGCAAGTGGAGACCGAAAAATTGGATACATATTTATTTTAATTGGTCTATTTACAATTAGTTAGTACACATAGTTATTGACATTAAAATTATATATATAATTATTTTCGTCTCTTCTTTATAGAATATTTATTTTAATTTCTTCCTCACTTTAATTTTTTTATTTTTTCTCTTGCATAAGTTTCTTATATTTTCACTTTTAGTTATTCTTAAAAAATTATGCATATTTTTTAAAATAAAATTAAAAAGTATCCTTTAATTTTTAATACTTTAATTTTTTTTTATGTTATATTCGATTTTTTGCACTTATTTTTATATCCGTTCAAAGACATTTGAATTAAATTTGAAATCAAATCAAAAGAAAAGAAAAAGCAAATAAAGAGAACAAATAAAATCAATATAAAAAGAGAGAGAAAAATAATGAATGAAGGTAAAAAAAAAAATGAAGAAAAAAAGTTTTAAAACATCGCAAAAGAAATTATGTGTATTAACTTAATTTAAATACAAGATAAAGAAAATAAGAAGATTTTAAAAAGAATTTTAAAAAAAAAGTGAAAAAAATAAAAAATACTTACACACGTGGCGGGCACGTGTTGTACAAACACAACCCACTTACCTGGTTGAAGGCGCCACGTTAGCACAAAAGGTGCATGAAAATAGAAAAAAAATGAATTTGGGGTAATAGGACCCTAATTTTTAATGTGTGTCGCTGAAATTTCGATCATAATTTAGAGGGTACTTATGCATTATCCAAAGTTGATAATGTAAGAATAAAATGGACATTTAAAAAAAGTCTATTAGGAAAAAGGAAAAGTATGATTATTTCTCAAAGTTGATAGGTAAATTTGATTTGTAAAGTAAAGTTCGAGGGGGTAAATGATTTTCACTTGGGGGTGATATAGAAGAGTCAATTGGCATGCTCTTAGACATCCTTTAATAGAAACCTATTGAATACCCTTTTTACTGAAAATTTGGACAAAAATCTTCATCAATTCAAGCGGTTTTAATATATTGTCACTATGGTACTGGAATTTACAAAACAACCTACGATTATAGATTTTTGGGAGAAGGTACAAGTACCCCCTAGACTATGACCAAAATTCCAGAGACACGTCTTAATTAAACTAAGGTCATATAACCCATCCACCCCCCGCAAACTCATTTTATATATAATATTGTACACCTTTTGGCTTATGTGGCACACTCTGTGACTCCACGCAGTTGAGGCGCGTGGAATATATTTGAATGTCACGTAAGTCAAAAATGTGTATAAAATTACAAAAAAAATTGAGTTTAGAGGGTAATAGGACTTTAGTTTAGTTAAGGTGTGTATCTGAGATTTGGGTCATAATGGGAGGTACTTCTACCTTTTCCCTAAGATTTTTTTTGTCAAAGTTGAATTTTTTGAATTTTCAATTAATTTAAATGCATATGTTCCTTGGATTTTAATTCTTTGTTGGTACGGTATAACTTGTTGTGAATTAATATATTAGTCTTTTTAATTTTTAATTAGCAAAATATATGCATTAATTGAGATGTTAAGTGCTTTGTTTTGGTTTATAGCATAAAATGTATAAAAAATAATAATTTTGTACAAACATCAAATATCAATATACATATATAAATAACATCTCACTAAAACAAGTATGAAACTTTTAGAAAAACATTGTATTTTTTATCACTATAAAAAGGAAGGTTTGATTGTATATCCGAATTTTACATCTTGTATATTTTGGACACCTTGCTCTTAGTGTTGGGTTATGAGGGGTGATTAGGGCGTCATGCGGAAGCTTACAATTACAAATAATATGGTTGATAAATCAGATAACAAAAAATTTATACTAAAAATCAAAATATTATTATATCAAAACTAATATAAAGAAAAACATTAAAACTTTAGAAAGAATAAATCTCCCCATAAACAAGACTCTTAAACAACTACATTGTGAATGTTACTGTTATTGTGTTAGAAGAAACAAACACACATATATATAAAGTCCTAAAACCTTTCCTACTAGAAAAGAACTAGCTACTCCAAAACTTTTTCCTAAAAGGAAAGAATAAACCAAATATGAAAGAATATTATATTTTCCTTTCAGGAAAAGTAAAAACATTTATGGTAATGTTTTGTCTTTTCTTTAAGGAAAAATAAATCTTAAATTATGGTAAGAAAATCAGGGCAAAACCCTAACAAATCTCCCCTTTTGGCTGAATTTTCTTGACAAAACTTGATCCGCCTTCTTCATATGCTTGATAATCTTGTTCTTCACAAAATCTTCATGTATCACTGCAGGTTACCATGATTTAAAAATTGATATGGGTTAAAAATTGGAGCCCTGTGTTAAAAGTTATAAGCAGGGTTGAAAGTGGAACTCATGCGTTAAAAGTGAGATACATGAGTTAAAAGTGGAGCCCAACATTAAAAATTGCAGGGGTTGAAAGTTGGAGCCCATGTATTAAAGCAAAGATGGGTTGAAAATTGATTTTGTTTTTAAGGATGAAGCAGTAGGATATTGTTGGAAATATATTTGAAATTTTTTTCTCCACATGTAGTAGCAAAAAAAAAATCTTCATTATCATCAAATTTGTTGCAAATTGATTTGAAACCACTTGAATCTTTCTTCAATCTTGTTGAACCATTGGATCATTGAGGGGTGATTAGGGCGTCATGCATTACAATTGCAAATAATATGGTTGATAAATCAGATATCAAAAAATTTATACTAAAAATCAAAATATTATTATATCAAAACTAACATAAAGAAAAACATTGAAACTTTAGAAAAAATAAATCTCTCCATAAACAAGATTCTTAAACGACTACATTGTGAATGTTATTGTTATAGTGTTAGAAGAAACAAACATAAATTTATAGAGTCCTAGAACCTTTCTTACTAGAAAAGAACTAGCTACTCCAAAACCTTTTCCTAAAAGGAAAGAATAAACCAAATATGAAAAAATATTATATTTCCTTTCAGGAAAAGTAAAAACATTTATGATAATGTTTTGTCTTTTCTTTAAGGAAAAATAAATTTTAAATTATGATAAGAAAATCAGAACAAAACCCTAACACTTAGATGCCTCATTTTTTGTGTTGTTAGTTGGTATTGGTTAATATTGTTAATTATATGATGTATTCCTCCTATTACTGTGATTGTGGAACCTTTACCTCTCAATGTACTTACCAACCTTGCTGAATGCTGATAATATAATTGATGATATTCCAGTGTATCTTATCAAAGAAATGAAAATATAACTAGTGCAAACTTCCACTTTTCACATGTTTGCAGTAGAGCCATTTAAATCTTGAAAATTGTTCAATACAATTTTCAAGGATTTGATATATAGGTTAATAAACCTGGAATTGCGAGCGAGGCGTAAAGTTGGTTGAGCCTGTTTAATCTCTCATAGGAAAAGGAGAAGTAGGGAGTTAAGGATTTGAGCTACAACTCAATACAAGCAAGTGTCATTTCATTTAGGACTAAAATTCAAACCATGGATGGACTAACACAGAATCCTCAAAACTATCACGAAACCAAATTTATATCTCCTATCTCCTACTATTAGCATGTATTAACAACAGCACTCACTACAGAGAGCCACCATCAAACAAATCTCCTCTGCAAAATCAATCACCCTCTCCTTGCTTGATGAATGATATTTCTCTCCGCCCATATTGGGCAACAGCATGTCGCTTTCTTGTTCTTCCACTCAGCTCCGCACGTGTAACAAAACTCGTGACCACATCTGGGGAAAAAAAAAAAAGCATTTGAGCTATTCACTCTTAAACTTTAGCTCTTACAACACAAATGAACGGTAAGTAAATGAAGTTCAGACACAAATTTACATGAAAAATGGTACCAGCTTATTTAACATAATTTCAGGCCATGAAACACCCCATATATACCCAACTCACTGCCCAAATAAAGAAAAGATAAAGGCAAGAGCATAGCTATCCAGATGTGATTTGTTTATAAAACAATTCTAATTCCCTTAGACTCGGTTAGAGATACATAGATCCTTTCATTTCACGAAATAAAAATACAAAGTTTCAAGAAATTTCAAACAACCCAAGGAGAAAAAGATCACCAAATTACCTCAGTATTTAACATCTTTTAGTTTCTGGTCCATCGGTGGGAATCAGTCCTAAAACCTTCCCCTCCTAGTTTTGACCTCATTTAGCAATTATATTCATAATTCATAATTACATGGTTTCTGGGACTTGGGAGGGACTAAATGTCTGGATCACCAACTGATATTTCCTATTTATACTTTTCTCTGTACAAGTTTGTTTGCTTACTGCTCGATTCTTCACAATTAAGAAGTAGAGCACAAGTCCTCAACATTGGAAGACAGAGACCGCATCACATACACTTTAAGCAAAGATCAAAGGCTGTGGAAGTACTAAAGCAGAGAGAACAGATGCTCCATCATCTAAAGGGACATAGCATTCAGGTCCTTTCTGTCACCTTTTCGGTCTTTAATGAGGTTCATAAGCCTTCATTTGATACCTTCCAGATCTTTTTTAAACATGAGTGGTGTTTGGATCAACTTGCGCAAGAAACGACTAATTCCCTGAGCACCTAGTGTCTCTCACCAACACACAGATGGGGAAGAATCCATCTACAGATTTTTGCATGTGACAGGATTTAAACTCCAATCTCCTATGGTCCATTCCAACTTCATTGACTGCTAGGGCACACCCTTAGGTGCAATGATGCTTTCCACATACCTTTAGATCAATAAGTATTTAAGGCCTTCCTAAAATGCAACAAAACAAAGATTATACAGATGAAAGATGCTAGTCATGCCAGTTTGAGTGACTGTTAAGTTTTCCGCTCTCTTCTCCTTTTAGTAGTTGATAAAATTATTCCAACACACACCACCCTTACCAGCATCATATTCTTACTCCGATATCATTCCTATACCTTGATGACAATATATTTACTTTCCCAGACTCCCTCAAGACACTTGAAGTTGAAGGTTGCCACTTTAAAAAGCTTTACCTTCCAGTAGATCCAGCCAAAAATAGAAGTGCTCATACCAAATCACTATAGCTCTCTTCTACAAAATGGGCTGAGTCTACAACGGTCCAATCCGAAAATGAAACTACAGAAATTGCCTTAGCAAGCTGGTCACTGACAACAAACAGCGCCACCAACATAATTGAGGCAGTCCATCTTTCATAGCAGAGGATACAAGAAGGATTTTGGCAAAAGAAACGGTTTCTTTGTCAAAATAAAACCGATATGCAGCATGACACGCTAATTGTACTGTCAACTTAAAAAACTATCCCTATTTAGCGCACCTCCTTAAAACAGATGTTTTTTCCATTCTCAATTGGCAATGGTTAAAATCACCAAATACAAAAATGAGAAGAACTTGCAAAATATTTAAAAGTTCTGTCATGAAAAGCAGAGCCCTGTTTTTTCATAACATCAAAACGATCTTGTATCTGACTTGTAACTCCCGCCATTTCAACACGACAACTTCACCCAAAATTATGACCAAGTCAGAATGGAGTAATAGAGCAAAAACTTCCAATGAAAGAATTGGCGACATTTTTCCGTTTTTTTTTATTCTTTGTAAACATATATATCCTCCTTTTACTGTCAAACAATAAATTTCATGATTTTCACTAGGAATTTCATCAACATCTTCAATATATGACGTTTTGATTCGACTAAGCAACTTGATAGGAAATACAAGCCACACGTTTTGCATGGCTTATGACAACCTGGTGCTAATTTAAGCTACAAAGAACAACATTCTTATCATCAGCTTATAGTTTATTGGCTTAAAGCAGCACTAGTTAGTCAGGTAGGAAATTCTTAAAATGTTGTCAGATGATTACCAATTAAGTCAGACAAGCTTAATCAGAAAGGTGCACTTACGACACAAAAATATGTATCTTCTGAGTAGGTTCCTACCAATCATTAACAGTATCTCAACCTAAATATACAAGGAAAACAACAGCAGTGCATGCTACAAATTACCTTCTTTAGATAATTACTTATATTTTTCCTTTCAAAAGAGAACACTAGAGAATGAACTATTAGCCATGCTTGTAGGTTGCAACATCTAAAGTTCTTGTAAACCATTCCAAAAAGTCATCACTTCCCTATAACCTAATGGAGTTGATGTAACTCCAACATGCACAACAGGGACGTAAGAAGGAAGGAGAAGTAAAGGACCTGCAGTTAATATGATAGCAGCCTTCCGCAAGGGACACCATATGGTTGCACTTAGCACACTGACGCCAACAACACTGTGTAGCAAGAGACTTGAGCTTTGCGTCGTCTACGCAATTGTAAGGGTTTAGTCTTCTATAGTCAAAGCAGGTCATGTTTTCATGCCAAGGAACTTTGCAATTGATACAGAATATGTGGCAACATTTCATGCATGTTCTGGCCCCAGTTTGGGAAGAAATTTGGACCTCGGCTTTTGACATTAACGTGGAACACTGCGGATTGGGGCAGTAAATCTTTTCTGTGATAGGAATTGTAGTTTCTTTTACACGTTCACTCATCAAATCATATATTTTGGGTGTCAAGAACTTTTTGCAGTCATCTATTTTCAACTCTGATTTGCATCCATCATGAGGACATTTCGGCAGCATTCCTTGAAGGAGCTTAACTTCCACATGTTTATTCATGCAGGAAAAGCAATAATAATGCAGGCAACCATTAATTAGAAACATATGATCCATATCAGTGTCCTGCAGACAAATAGCACAACTCTCGGTGATGCTCTTTCTCTTTCGAGTAGAATCTGATGGTTGCTTGACCTGAGAGGCTATCGCATCAGTAGCAAGTTTAATTGCAAAATTGACAGTGTTTGGTGCCACAACAAATGTTATAGAATCTGCAAATTTTCTTAAACCAGCAGTTGCCTGTTCAACAAGTGCAGCAATATTTTCCTTCCTAGGATGCACCTTGCCCCTAACCTGCAAAAACATAGATCAATCATAGTGATAAACCTAAGATGGGATTTATACAATATAAATAAACACTACAGGTTCAAAGTGACAAAATAGTATTTGCCTCGACATGCACCAAGTGTTCTTCGGTAAGTACAGGGATAGAAGAATATACACTCTAATATATGCTATCCTCCAATATAAAATTTGACAGACACTAGAATATATTATCAATTATTAAAACAATGCACTTGTGGGTCAAAGAAGTTATTATGAATGAGCTAAATTGTTCTTCCCTAGTCCCTTTTTCTAATTCGAAGGGCTAATATTCTCTAAAAAAAGAAATTTAAAAACAAAGAACTTTTTTTCCTTCTTTTTTTTGCCCCCAAGGCCTAGCTCGAGTGGCAAAAAGGTGGAGGATTTGTGGCTTAGGTCGCAGGTTCATGCCCCACACCATGCAAAGCGAAGTCCGGTATTTAAGTGGAGAAGGGTAGAGGGACGGGCCCATTATCCACCGAGTTTAGAAGGTTGTGATTGGTCCAAAGGATGGGTCACAAATGAATTTCTCGTTTATCAAAAATAAAAAGAACCTTTTTTCTTTTCTTTTTTTTTCGGAACAAATTCACTCACACAAACCTATTTGCATCTACTTGTACCCTAATTATAAATTCTTATGACAATATAGGAAACATCTAAAAACTGTTCTAGCTTTAGTGTTTGGACTTTTATATGGTATTGGAAAATACTCTTCTCGTGAGCCAGCTTTTGGAGTCATTAAACATGGCATCATAAGTCAGACATATCATATTGAATTGTCCACTCTCCAAATGTAGCCTAGGCATTAAATGAGATGAGGAGAATTTGGTCTTTTAATACTCCCATTGTCCATCTTTACTTGTCCACTATACTATTGGGATGTCCAACAATACTTGTCCAGTTTATAAAATCAATGAATAATTTACCATGTTGCGTCTATTTTACACTAGCTACTAAATATTATATCAATTTTTCAATGTTTAGATGACTTATATTTAATATGAGTGATTTGGTAAAATTACTCTATTATTTACTGCTCCTTGTAACAATTCAATAGTGGACAAATATTATTGGACAGAGAAACTATGATCTTGGGCAATTAATGTGCTCCTTGTAACAATTCAATAGTGGACAAGTATTATTGGACAGAGAAACTAGGATCTTGGGCAATTAATGAGCTAGCTTTTGGGATTGGGCAGCATCGGAATATCTAATTAGTCTGTTAGAATAGGAATATGTTTATACAATCCTATTAGAATATGAATAGGTTTATACAATCCTATTAGAATATGAATAGGTTTATACAATCCTATTAGAATAAAAATAGGTTTATACAATCCTATTAGAATAAAAATAGGTTTATACAATCCTATTAGAATAGGAATAGGAATAGAAATAGAAATAGGAATACTAACTAGTATCCTACTTGGTAAAGGATTGTATTCTAGGATCTATAAATAAGGTCTCAATGTAATAATGTAAACAACAACAATTCAATAATATTCTTTTCTTATATTTCTCACATGGTATCGGAGCTTCTACGATCTTGGTAAACAATCAAAGTGCTTCCCCTGCCCGCGGGCGGCTATTACTCATATATGCTGCCCGTCTGGCCAACAATTATGTTAGCAAAAGTTGGGTCACCGTGTATCTTTCCGGTGATTATTTTCTCATATTTGATTTATGTAAGCACCGTGCCATCATTCCGGTGACTACTTTCTTATATCTAACTTGTAGCACCGTGCCATCTTTTCGGTGACTACTTTTTCATATTTAATTTGTGTAGCACTGTGACATCATTCCAGTGACTACTTTTTCATATATAATTTTTGTAGCACCGTTCCATCCTTCCGGTGACTACCTTTTTTTTGCATATTTGATTTGCGTAGCACCGTGCATCTTTTCGGACTACTTTTCATATTTAATTTGTGTAGTATCGTGGATTTTTCCGAACTATTTTCTCATATCTGAGTCGCATAGCATTATGTGTCTTTTTAGTGACTCCTCAGATTTGATTTGCATAGTTCCATTCGTCTTTTCGGTGACTCCTCAAATCTGATTTGCGTAGGGTTGTGCCATCATTCCAACCCTACCCGTATAATTTTTCTTTTTCAGTAGGGTCGTGTCATCATTCCGACCCTACCTATATTATTTCTCTTTTTCAATGGGGTCGTTCCATCAATTCGAACTATCCTATATAATTTCTATCTTCTAGTGACATCATTCCAACCTACCCATATAATTTTATTTCTTAGATTGTAACCACTTTTAGCCATCAAATCTAATACTCCGGCATATGAGCATGTTTAGGCCAATTTTTCGGTGACTTTCTTGTTTAATATTGACTCGTCTATTGATTCCAACATGATCCATACACTTTATACTAGATTTTGAGCACTTCCGGCGACCGTTGCATTGTGATGAAGTCTATATGGAGCAACCACCTAATTTTGTTGCTCAGGGGGAGTTTAGTAGCCTTGTATTTGATTACGTAAGTCACTCTATGGTCTGAAACAGTCTTTACAAGCTTGGTTTGGGAAGTTCAACACTGTAATTTTATTACTCTGTGTTTTATCAGCATTATGCATCAAATTCAATATTTCTAGAGATGACCAAGCACAATGAGATTGATTGTCAATTTTGTAAAGTCGTGTGATCAACTTGCAGATATCTCACCAATCCCCTCATCGGTCCTTGTGTTAACTACATTTGTAACAAGTTAGGTACATGAATTGTATGCATTAGCTTGAGGGGGAGTGTTAGAATAGGAATATGTTTATACAATCCTATTAGAATATGAATAGGTTTATACAATCCTATTAGAATAAAAATAGGTTTATACAATCCTATTAGAATAGGAATAGGAATAGAATTAGATATAGGAATACTAACTAGTATCCTACTTGGTAAAGGATTGTATTCTAGGGTCTATAAATAGGGTCTCAATGTAATAATGTAAACAACAACAATTCAATAATATTTTTTTCCTATATTTCTCACATAGTCAAAGAAGACAAACAACATTGTAGTAGTTCAAGGAGTCTCACATATTGGAAGATTGTTTGACTATCCAAGAAGAAATTAACCCTTTTCAAACCCAGCATTGTAGCAACATCAAGTCCTTCAATCAGTGCTTTCAGCTCTACAATTTCATCAGTCAAGACGACTTCAGCACTTGCAATCAAACCCTTACTCACTTCAAACACCAATATACCACTCGGGTCACAAACAGCAACTCCAATCCCAGCGACTTGTTTTTCCCCAACTCCATCCGTCTCTTCAACATCTTCACCCATCAAACCCTTAACATAAACCCTAAAACACTCCCCATTTTGCATCGCCACCCCTCCCTTGGACGAACCTTCACCATAAGGCCTCTGTAAATGATCCCCAGTCTTCTTCCACTGATACTCCGGAACCCTCTGTATCTCGCGTGCAAATGCCTGATCGTGAATTCGACGGTTGAGGTCGTCTTCAATTTTCTTCATCTCCGACTCAGCCTTTTTACAATCATGGACTTGCTGTTCGTACTTTAACAATTCCTCAGCGAAAAGATGTGAAACAGTGTTGTTGGGGATGACGTCTTCATCGTAAAAAATGAGTCTGGAACTGGAAGCGGCATTTTTTGGGAGAGAGTTGATCATAGCCTCTTCCATTTGGAGTTGAAAGGCAAAGAGGAGATCGTCTTCAGCGGCTTGAGCAGCAGCAATTTCACGGCGTTGTTCATCCAGTAGGGCGGGGAGATCGTCGTTAACTTCCATAACTTTTTGGGCGTTCAGAGCTTTTGGGAACTGAGATAAATGGCAATCGGTTCTTCACCTTCTGCTTTGTTCTTCACTATTGAATTTATTGGGGAATGAGGAAAAAAGAGAGGATGAAACTTGAAAGGAGTCTTGGGAGTGTCCTTTTCTCACTATAGTTTGTTCGGAAAAGGCCAAAAATATCCTTCAATTGTTTGAAGTAGCCTATTATTTTTTTTATTGGATTAAAAATATTTATTTGTCCATGTTTTATCCTTAAAATTTATAGCTTTTTATTATATTTGTTATGTTGTTAAATGTGGATTGTCCATTTGATTTCTTCAAGAATTAATTGAATTCATAATTTCAAGGTGATATGAACCTTGGTGGATAACTATGTATAATTTCAAGGTGACCTTTGGTTATGATATCTCAACACTATAAATAGAGATATCATTCACCATTTGGATGACACACTTGAATAAAAAAAAAAATCATCTTCTTCATCTCCATATCTTGTCTTCTTTTCTTTATATTATATCATTATGAGCTTATATTTTAAATCACGTTATCAGCACGAATGTTTTACCACAGAGAAATAACCTTAAGGTAATTTGGTCAAGAGATTGGTTATGAAATCCTCCAATCCTCACGATTAACTTTGGAACTTGGGTCAATGAAATGAACCGGAGTGTTTGAGTATTTATATGCACTTTGTTATCTGATATGTTTTCTTTAAATACCCATTTTATTGTTGGTTGGTTGGTGTGTCTCAGAATTTCATATAAATATTAGGGCCCGTTTGGCCATGCAAACATGATATGATATCATAATATGAAATTATGAGATATAATTGAAATTTTGTTTGGACATGCGATATAAAATTTTGATGTTGTATATTCTCATAAATATAAGAATCTCATAAGTTGTAAAACTATTAAAATAGCCCTAATTGTTTATTCAATCTTACCAAGTAAACAAAAATTTATAAAATCGCATAATATATATTTCATTGTTATTTGTTCTCCACTTAAGTAATTGTTTCATCTAACTTTAATTCATCAAACTTTAATTCAATAAAAAAAATTGAACATAAATTGTAGTGTACTAGTGTTTAGTGTTACTCAACAATCGGTTGGTGTGAGTTAAAGTAACTATATGTTGGTGAGAATAATAAATTTTAAAAAATAATGATGTCATTATAAATTTTATTTACATATAAAATAAATGGTTAGTAGATATAAATGTGGGGTTGTTTTAACAAAATATAAACTTGTTGATCAAATTTTATATTAAAAATATCTCAAATCATGATACGAAATTCTCATATCATGGTTTTTTGAGAATATGAAATCACATCTCATGATATGGAATCATGAGATGGAATCAGCGTTAAATCGCATGTCCAAACGCTGATTCCATCTCACGATACCATATCGTAATATGGTATCGCATGGTCAAACGCCTACTTAGGGCCCATTTGGCCACATGATAAGAAATCATGAGATGAAATTGAAGTTTTGTTTGGACATGCGATATGGAATTTTGTGTTGTATATTTTCTTATAAACATAAAAATTTCATAAGTTGTAAAACTATTAAAATAGCCCAAATTGTTTATTCAATCTTATCAAATAAATAAAAAAATTATAAAATCACATAATAAATTATTACAAAGTTATTTGTTCTCCACTTAAGTAATTGTTTCATCTAACTTTAATTTAATTAAAAAAAATTGAACATAAATTGTAGTGTACTAGTCTTTAATACAATCTGCTCACATAGTACGGACAATTTTCTCACGTTAAACTTGCATTTCTCGATCATGTGACCGAGAAGACGAACCAACGTTGTTACTTTGAGCCATTTATTGGTCAATATCATCTGCAACTATATTTTCATGTTCATAGACCATAAATATTTCATCAGTGCTTTGGTATTCTCGCAAATAATTATGTAACACTGCACAAGCTAGGACACAATTGTGTATCAATATAATAATGGTTCATGTCTTGTTTCATTACTCCTATTTTTTCAAGCTCGAAAAGTTCGTTCAATCACATTGCACAGAGATGAATACCTATATTTAAACAGTTTTTTGGCATTTTGAGGCTCTCTTTCACTTCCTCGGTAATCTTGCAAATGATAGCATAGTCCTTTGTATGGAGCTAAAAATTCTTTTGTGTTTCGGAAACCAGCATCAACAACATAGTATTTATCTACCAACAAACATTTTATAAAGAATTACTAAAAGCATATGTGACGTAAATGAGACAACTTTGTGTAAATAAATAATATTTATTCTAAGGATGTAATTTAAAGTTACCATGTGTCGAAAATGGAAATTGTGACGTTGGTTCAACAAGTGCATTCTCAAGTACTTTACTATGTGCAGTACCTTCCCAACCAGCAACAACAAAGGTAAATCACATATCAAAATCACAAGCACATAAGACTATATGTTGGTGAGAATAATAAATTTTATGTCGGTGAGAATAATAAATTTTAAAAAGTAATGATGTGATTATAAATTTTATTTACATATGAAATAAATGGTTAGTAGATATAAATGTGAGGTTGTTTTAACAAAATATAAACTCGTGAAATAATTTTTGTATTAAAATATCTCAAATCATGATATGAAATTTCCATATAATTCCATATCAAGGTTTTTGGAGAATTTGGAATCACATTTCATGATATGGAATCAACGTAAAATCGCATGTCTAAACGTTAATTCCATCTCACCGATATCATATCGTGATATGGTGTTGTGAGATGGAATCAGCGTTTGGACATGCAATTTTATGCTGATTCCATATCATTAGAGGTGATACCATATTCTCCAAAACCCATGATATGGAATTATATGGTGATTCCATATCATGATTTGAGATATTTTAATACAATAATTGATCCATGAGCTTATATTTTGTTAAAACAACCCCACATTTATATCTACTAACCATTTGTTTCATATGTAAATAAAATTTATAATCACATCATTACTTTTTAAAATTTATTATTCTCACCAATATAAAATTTATTATTACTTTAAATTTGGTGAATATAATGATAAAGTAAAAATTCATTTGGTGAATATAAATAAGAACGAAGGGAGTAATACTTTTTGATTTTTCATAATTAAAAAAACGTCTTAATCTTATGACTAAGCATAATATTGATAAAAGACAATTTTCATTGGCGGTGCCGCACTTTCTTAATCTTAGTATTTGCAAAATGTTCGTTCACATGACTGAAGAATATCAAGTCCAATGGATTGAGGACTTGGGAAAAATTTGATCAATTAGTTATTAATATTTAGTCAAGTGGACTAGTTATAATTTTTTTGATTAAATTTTATTAGAAGTGTTTTTGACTCAAACTTGTGATAACTTTTTTAAAATTTCGTTATTCTATAATATTTAACTATTGATTTTTCTTGTAAATAGTTAGAAGTCAGTGATGTTTGTTAATTTTTATGTTACTTCTAAGTTAATATTTACTCACTAATGTATGTTTTTTTTCTACTTTATAGGTTATTTGTAAGGGCCCGTTTCGCCATAGATTTCCCAAATAATATTTGGCGAAAAAATTGGCAAATAATGTTTGTCCATACAATTTGCCATTATTTTGCAATTTTTTTTGGCAAATATCCCAAATTTCCAAATACTAGTTTTTTTTAGTATTTGGGTCAAATCTCATTATTTGGGATCTTTTGAAAATTGAAATGTTACCCCAAACTTTTAGCTTTTACAAAAACACCTTCTATAGTAGTTGTTTGTGTTGTATTACATAATTTTTCACGTGAACACCAAAGTAGTGATGAAATATTCAGTGAATATAAATGATGATATGGTTGTTGATGAAAATGATGAACAATCGGCTCAGGGTAACAAAGTCATGTGATTTGTCTACTTCACGATGTATGACACTCACTCCAAACTACCACATTGCTCTAGTGTCATGGACACTATTTGCTATTATTGCAACGAAGATTCAATTGACTTGTAATACAAATATGGTTAGTTTTGATAATTTTTAAAACTTATGGGTATAAATCATATTTTTCTAATAAAGTGAAATATATTTCCCAAATACTATAGTCAAACACATGGTGAAATTTCACCCAAAATTTCACCCAAATAATATTTGCCAAGAATATTTAGAAATCTATGGTCAAACGCTAGCTAAGAGTAGTTGAGAGATATGAGCATATCAAGTACAATTTATGTTCAATTTTTTTAATTAAATTAAAGTTAGATGAAACAATTACTTAAGTGGAGAACAAATAACTTTGTAATAATTTATTATGCGATTGTATAATTTTGTTTATTTGATAAGATTGAATAAACAATTGGGGCTGTTTTAATAGTTTTACAACTTATGAAATTTTTATGTTTATGAGAAAATATACAACACAAAAATTTCATATCGCATGTCCAAACAAACCTTCAATTTCATCTCATGATTCCATATCATGATACCATATCATGATTCCATATCATGATATCATATCGCATGGCCAAACGGGCCCTTAGTATATAGTGTTTTATTTATTATAAATTATTTAAAGCAATTATTCTTTGTCACTACTATTTTATTATGATTATCAATACATAAAATTTACCGTGCAATAATTCTTTAAGTGGAATATCTTATATTAGAACATATAGTTTACAAATTATATTTTGTATATATCTTCTTCATATATGTATTTTAAGGACTTGGGGGTGAGTCTTAATGTAATTTGGCTTATTATGCTATTAGTTGAGGATGAGACGGTGAATTCAAGTCTCATTGCACCAAAGAGTAAGACATATTATTATTACTTGTATGTGTTTGTATTGTGGATCCTTCTACTTAACTCCTTACCAATTAAACCCTTAAACTTAATCAAAAGATGATTTTTAAACCCTTTCTATCATGTGTGTAGCCCACTCTCCCTTAAATAAATGACATGCCAAATTCATGTCACATAAATTAATAACACGGCATAGTTATCTTCATTAATTATTTTTAAAAATTATTAATCGAAATATGAAATAAAAGGTAAAATAATTCTTTAAAGTAAATTCTTATTTCTC